ACTGTATGTAAAAATGCAAGAACTACACATGTACACATTTGATTTCTTAACCACAGTATTCTAATTGTATTGTATGTTAGCGTGAATTAGCTTTACAGAAGCAAATACAAGTTATAGTTCACTCTTAATACATGTACATGTATCTCCCCTCCCTCTCTCCCTCCCCTCCCTCTCTCCCTCCCCTCCCTCTCTCCCTCCATTTCTCCCTCCCCTTCCTCTCTCCCTCCCCCCTCTCTCCCTTTCAGCTACTCTTTCTCTTCCTTACCTGGACATTAAGCTTGCTGTAGGAAAGACAGGTATACCTTTCTTCTTTCTTTTAACATAAGCTTGTGAGGTTAGCTTGTCCTCATAGTCAGGATGCATGCACCAGTAGCCACCTTTACCGAACCCTAGCCCCTCCCTCTCTCTTGGGGCTTTCATAAAATATTGATTAAGAGACAAGTTGTGACGTATTGAATTCTAGAAAGAGAGAGACAGCAAAAATGTAATATTAACAAAACAAATGCTTACAAATAAATAAAAAAACTACATGCAATGTACACACACATTACACATATGTACACATGTACAAGAACATTAAAAAAACAAAAACACGTACTACACTACCTAATAAAAACTCACCCCCTCCCCCTCTCCCTCTTACCTTCCATCCCTTATCTTCAAGCCGGTAATAAGGATACTTATCAGAAATGAACTGGTATATGTTACTCAAGGTCTGTTTTCTGTCAGAGCTGGCCAACAAGGCCTGAACAATCAACTGCGCGTAAGAGAAAGGCGGTTTAGTATATTTCTGTCCATCCTTTCCGATTCTTTCCTACAATAAACAACAGAAGTGATATGAGAAACAAAAGATGCATACATCTGCCGTAGAGTTCCCCGTCTCGCTACTGTTATTGTTCTCTCCTCCTCCACCTCCTCCTGCTGGGGTCTCTCCCTCTTCTGTTTTATCTCCTTCTGCTTCTCCACCATTCCCTGTTGGTAGTATTGTGGGTGTGGCTATAGGACTACTGTCACCTGATGAGCCTAGGCGCTCAGAGTGCTCACCTACGTCTTCAATAACACTGCTATTACCTGCTTCATCGCCCTAGAGAGAGAGAGAGAGATTATATTACTCCTTTCTTTCTCTCTCTAATTATTCCTACTGGCTCTGAGTCTGATGCTAAACGATCTTTTTGCTGGGACAACAGTTTAGACGCATATTGTGCCATAAAATCAATACTGGCAATTCTGTGTTGATGACTGTTACTAGCAG